TATGATAATTTTTATTTAAGTAGAAACACATGCTGGAGTCTTACGAACAAGTACAACGACGACAACAAATGTATTAGAAGAACAATTACATTGGACAAAATTAGATGAAACAGTACGAAAATCTTCTATAATGTCAACAAAGGAAATTTATTTTGATGAAGATAATGATTTAAATTTTATTAATTCAAATAAAAATTTATTAAATACAACAGAACAAACTGTTTATGTTGTATGTATATTTATTTTTATTTCTATAAAATATTTTCTATTATTATGTTTAAGAATGATCATCAATATTATAATGTTTCATATGTTATTCCAAAATTTGAAGGCATTCCATTGTATTTTGTTCCAGAAAATAACCAATTTATTCGTATAAATGCACTTTTTGATCGACATCGATCAACTTTTGTAAGGAAATTCGATTAACATTATTTGATTTTTATAAAATTTTCTTTTCATAATAGAGTATCAATTTAAAATTTAATTTTCCATTTTATGGGCATAATATTAATAAAATATTAGTTGGAACTAGAGGTATGTTTTAATTTTTTTTTAATTTTTTACTATTTTTATGACACCTATATATATATAATTGTTTTCCAAGAAATCGATAGAGATGAAAATAGATCGTAAGTGCCGATGATAAATTTACATTATTTATCTGTCTAATCTGCTTTCACTGTTAACAAATTAACTTGTGCTATAAAAAAAGACTTCGATTTTTTAAAATTCTTTTCGTCGATTAGTAACGCACTTATCTCATTATTTTTCTAGGTTTCATCTACACAGGTGATTTATTATACTCGGCATTAGTTGGTAGTACACAATAGTAAGTTTTTCCTAATCTTGTTTTGTTATGAAAAATAATACTACTTTATTTTCATGTAAAGTATTGCACCATTTATGGCAAATTTTGATGTATTCATTGGTGGTAATCAATCTGAAATAAAATATTTTGATAATAGTACACATTTTATTTGTACATGGAAGAATCTTTATTTACAAGATCAACAAGATGTTGGTGCTTTTACATTTCAAACAATTTTACAAGATACTGGTTGGATTTCGATTTCATATGAATTATTTTCAGAATAAATTGCTTTCATTTTTTGTTTGATTTAAATTAGGAAATATTTATTTTAATTATATACAAATTCCACAAGTTAAAATATCAAATTTAAATCATGCTCATCGTATTGGTCTTTCTGATGCATATATGTCCCAACATTTAACAAATGAACATATTATTCGTGTCATAACACTTTATGATAAACTCAATTTAGATAAGGCAAAAGTAAAAAATGGTGCTTCAGTTATTTTCTCCATGGAGAGTAGTAAGTTTTATTGCAATCAAATTATTCTTTTTTTCAGAGAGCATTCCTAAGATTAAAAAAGCAAAATACTCGTCAAAAATCAGTTTTTTTAATGCTCATTCGGAAGATCATTGTTTAAAATCGTCAACGTCAAATCTTTAGCTCTTTTGGATATTCTATTGAACAAATTAGCTTATACCGACTTTTCTGTTATATCTACCTACTGTCAAGATAATAATAGCCAGGAACCGTCTCATTGATGTCTTTTGAAATTACATTTGAATTTAACAGATCCTTCTTATGCAACACATCAAAAGATCGAGCATGAACAGCTGAAAAAAAAATGAGTTATTTAAAACATTGTATATCATCTATTTATTGAAATTAGACAGTCCTACACGGATAACACTATAATCTCTCAGTAACACATTAAGTTGAAAATGATTTCTACACTGAATTAAATAGCTTGCACGAACAATATATTTCTCCCTAGATAGACACACATGCCATTGTAGCAAGATTCATGCTTCAAACAATTTTACGGGGATTTCAAGTGTCTTCGATGATAAGTAATTGTTTTTTTTAACATAGACAACTACACGTTATAACGGTAATTATGCACTTAATCCTATAGTTATTATACAAAATAGCACAGAGGAAATAAACATCGAGTCCTGTATTCTAACGGTAAACAGGACAATGAGTGCTTTATAATCTTTTCTATCCTCACCGTTACGCTGAATATCCGCTCTCTACAATTCCTTTTTTTTTCTTCACCGTTACTGTGCGGATGTGTCTTATGTAATCCTCTTTTGCCTTCACTCTCACCTTTGAAGTAAAGTTCTTATCTGAATTCTAATCATATTCAAGCAGTGAAAATTATTAGGTATTGCTATAATAAAATTCCAGTATAGATTTTTTTTTTCAGCTATTTTCGAGTTGATATAAAACTCTTAAATCTACATTTATATTGTAGCTCGAATTACATAATTCATGTTTAAATTATGATCTTTGGAATGTGCAGTAAAACAAATTTTGACCAGTACTTCGTACATAGAGATGATCCTTAAAAAAAAAGTCATGCAGATGTATAATTAAAGTACAGAAAAAGAGCATGGTTCGTGTATCAATAAGATTACAGAGAAAATTGTGTATTATACTTCAATTTAATGAATTAGAGCTTTGCATAATGTCTCCAAATCGACATATGCCCTTTTTGTACTATTAACATACAATATTTTTTTGTGTTGATGTTCTTCAAGTTTCTTTTGTTCTCGCAATTTACCTGTCTTTTACATACAGACCATCAAAATCAAATATCTATTGTCATACATTGGACAACAACGTAGACAATAGGCGAAAAACAATGAAATTTACATTTTTGACAGCTTGAGTAATGTACAGTGTATATTGTCTTATAGTCCATGAAATGAAGTCTACGCTTTTGTTTCGATCTTTTGGATTCATAGAAATGATTGATCACAGGATTTAAACAAAATAAACAACCTATATCAATAAGTCCCTTCATTTGTAAATGAAAAGTTTGTGCTCTGTCGATTGATAACAAAATTTTTCATTCAAGCAATGTGTTACAAATAGATGTGTCCAATGAAGTGAGTACACATACTTTAGCACAGCTCAAATGCCAGCAAAATTCTGACACAAAGATCTTCCCGTTTGATACAAATACTCCGTTTGCATCGAGATATATAAGTGCCCCAGATTTTCAATATAGGGTTTCGAAAAAAATAGACTTTCAGATATTTTCGCAGTTTTCTCAACTCAGAAGCACTACTTGCGATTTTGACAGAAACTAAATATTGTCCATTTTGTGTTGCATAGAATAAAAATAAAACATAATCGATTCAGTCAATCGTACAGTTAAAAAGAAAAATATGTCTTTTTTTTTTCTTTAGCATGTAATACTTTTACTGATTGTAAATCATGTTTGGCAAATCGTGGTAAACGATATAATTGTTCATGGTGTGATGATATTCAAAAATGTTCTGATGGTTATGATCGTTCACGTCATCAATGGATACGAGCTCAATGTCATCATCTTGCTTCTGAAAATATATGTTCAAATACTATCAAAGATACATTTGATACTAATCGCTTTCTATTATCATCATTATCAGATACTCATTTGAATAAAATTCAACCATATGTATCATCTAGAAAACATTCAGCATTATATACATTTCGTACTATTATTGTTACATTATTAATAACTATTTTGATTCTTTCCTTAATTGCTTTTCTTGCCACTTTTATTTATGCTTATCGTCATCCAACATCACCACCTGGTATGTGGCTACTTGAACATCGTCCATCGAATTATATTGCTCGTTTTAAACGTTTTTCGGATATAACTAATGATGTATCTAATACGAAGCAATTTATCATATGAAAATCGATGATTAGTAATTATTTTTCATTGTTGGATATATCAATATGGCTGTACTTTTGTTTTGATTGTTTAGTGTCGTACTTTTCTCTCTTACCTTTCTGTTCTTCTTAAATCATACAATTCTAAACGAAAAATAAACTGAAGGATACTTACAGCTTCATGATGCAATGTTATTGATTAAGTAATAGAGAGAAAAAAAGATATAATAGTATTGACTGTATTGATGCCTTTGATAGATAAAGTAAATAATCGATTATATCGATATTAAAAATCATGACATCAACATATAGGTTATTATTATTAAGTGTATGAATACTATTAAAGATATTCAAAGGAAATTGTGAAAATTTATTTTATTTTAAAAACCGAATCGATATTAATATAATGAAGACACACCTTAGTTTGTTCATATCTATAAAATGATAATAAACATCATTTAACACATGTTCATAACTAAGTCCAGCATGATTTCTTTTCGATAATGCGTATGAGAAAATAATGATTAGTGAATATTATTAAAATGATTCGAATTTTGTATTAAGGTATAATTGTTGGCTTATTGAAAGCTGAGTAACTTTCACGGATATATTTAAATTTTTTTTTAAATTGCGATCAATACACTCTTTATCTTAGTATACAATCTAATCAGTTTATCTTTATGATATGCATTGATAAATATGTTTCTTTTTCTTCTTATATTTTACTAAATAAGTATGCACACAAACATGTTTATTCATTCTTATCATACACAAACAGTACGATAAGCTAATAATAAAAAAATAGATCGAATTCATCAGCTAAAAATGATAGTAAAAAAATCATCTTAAAAACGTTATGCATAGAAAATAGAAGTAAATGACAACTTGAATTAAATTGATTTGTGAAACCAATGTGAAAGTCAACAGTGCATGTTTATCTTATTTAATGATTCTACTCAAATACACAACTAACAAAGCACTGTGATCAAACATTTCTCTACCTGCTGTCCTACAACGCACGAAAGTGTCGTCAATAGCGTGACCTGTTATTCAATATAATACATTATATCCTCTTTCGATTATACATGCTCATAGATTCGTTTCTCTTTTTCTTAGCTAGGCAATATAAATACGTGCACAGATAGACGAAGATTATATACGATTATTGATACAGGTAGTTTTACACTTATTATTATTCGTGAATAATTTCATACTTCTCTTACAGTTAAGCAACATTAGTAAAGATTTGATATAAAACTCATTTGTATATATTTATTGAATAATAATAATAATAATATGTCTAATGCGGTTATTGAAATCGAATCAGACGATATTAATGGCAATTCATCCCCTATCTCTGAATATCGACCTAAACAAGGATCTATTCATAAAAGTATGGATAGTGATTCTAAAAAGTAATGAAAAACTTTAATCTTTATTCATTTGAATAACATTTCTTTTGTCGTAGACCTCATTCAAATGAAATTTCTATTCCAAATGAAGATGATATTGACCATTCTCATCATGATGATGATGATGATGATGATGATGATTTAAGTAATGATGCTCAAGAAGAACAATTTGAAGAAGAATTAGATGATATCGATACACTTCAACAAATACAAGCTGATATAAGTAATCCTCCGGGTGCGGTTGAAATGACCCAACATACATCGGTTGGTGCTAAACGATTGCGTTTTCTTTCAAAAATTCCGTTAGTTATTTTTCTTTGTTGCCATATATTATTCGCGTTTTTTTATTTATGTTCATTATAGGTTTTTTCGTCGATCAAAAGAACCTAAGAAACCTAAAGCTCGTCGTTTGAAATTGTATGAAATTTTTAGATATGCTGATATATGGGATATATTATTAATGATTATTGGTACAATAGCTGGTTAGTTCTATTTTAATTTTCTTTATTATTTTATAGTTTTTGTTTTATTCCATTTTTATTTTCTAAACAGCAATAATAGCCGGCGGTAAGTGCTACAAATATATCGTGACGAAGTAATTCATAGAATATATTGTTTTATGCTTATAGGACTTTTTCCAGTGATGTTATATCTTTATCGAGGAGTGACAAATCATCTAGTTGACATGGGAAAATTGCAGATAAATATTACTTCTGATAATGACAGTTTCATACAGTTCGATAAGTGGTACATATACTTTAATTTTCATTTGCTGCTTGTTCATACTGTTATTTCGTAGTTTTCTTATACCAAATAAAACTGCCGGAACTCAAACACCTCAAGAAGCCATACATGAAATTATAAAATATTATGTTGTTATTGGATTTTCTAGTATCCTTTGCTATTGGATTGCTTGGTCAACCTGGCTGCTAGCTTCCGAAAGACAAGTTCGACGCATACGGTTTATAATTTTTCATATAGAACAATAAGTTTCTCATAGTGATAATGTTTTTAGTTATGCTCTTTTTCGAAATATTTTACGACAAGAAATTGGTTGGTTTGATGTACATAATGCAGGAGAATTAAGTAATCATCTTATCAATGATTTAGGTAAGAAATTAAATCACAATATTTAATACTGTTAAATTATTTCGTTATTTATATTTATAGGCAAAATCAAAGATGGAATCAAGTATTTAAATTCAATAAAATTTATTTATTTTTATATTATTTGAATTCTAGTGAGCAAGTACCGGATTTTATTTCTCTTCTGTCTCGTATGTTAGGTGCACTCATCTATGCTCTTGCAACAGGATGGAAATTAACACTTGTCTTTTTATCTGTTTCGCCATTTGTAATTCTTACTTTCAACTTAACAATTTTAGTACGAAAGCGTAGAATTTATAATGCTATTTCATTATAAATGAAATTGTATTTCAGGTCATTGTAAAATACACAGTTAAAGAAATTAAAGCTTTTGCTGCGGCATCATCGATTGCTCAAGAAGTAATACAAAACATTCGAACAGTGACAGCATTTCATGGTCAGGCAAAAGAAGAAGAAAGGTAGATGGTAATCATTCATCAACGATTGTTTGCATCTTCATTTTCGTTTGATTTAGATTTGCTAAAAATCTAATTATAGCAAAAAAAATAGGCATTAAGAAAGGTCTATATATAGGAGTAAGCCAGCTTTTATCACAAAGTTTTACTTTTTTGGCATTTTCCATCACATTTTGGTACTTAATTCAAATTGTCTTTACTTTTTTAATATGAAGTTTTACTCAAATAATTTTAGGTACGGTCCAAAACTTGTCCGAAGTGAATGTACAAATTATTCAGCTGGTTCAGTCATTGTGGTAAATAGATTGTATATACTTTCTATCATCTATCGTCTCATTTAAAAATCTTATAATTATAGGTATTCGTCGCATGCATGGTATACTATCTTGTCGAATGAATAAAAGATACTGATAATAATAATTAATTTTCATATTTATTAGATTGCAACAATGAGTACGGCACAATTCATTCCGAATTTTCAAAATTTCGCAGAAGCATTAGGTAGTGGTATTTATGTATTCGAGGTGATTGATCGAGTAAGTTAATAATTACTTAATTACAATCCAATAAAATACTTGCTTGTTCGTTTATCAAGCAAACAATGATTGATGCAATGAGTGACGAAGGTGATAAGCCAAAACAAATTATTGGTGATATTGAGTTCGAAGATGTTTCTTTCGCCTTTCCTACACGACAAGAAGCACCTGTATTGTTTTCTAGTTTTGTTCGATATCTCCTATGATTAATTTTTCTTTATTGTCAAGGTTCTCAATAATCTGTCACTCAAAATTCCATCTGGAAAAACAGTTGCTTTAGTTGGAGCATCAGGATGTGGAAGTTAGTTTCGTTTTCAATGTTTTATTGATAATAAAGTGTTTTATTTTAATAATAGAAAGTACAGCGATTCAATTAATTCAACGATTTTATGATCCAGATCAAGGTCAAATTTTTCTTGATGGAAAAGATATTAAAAAATTGAATGTTGCATGGCTTCGTTCACATATTGGTATTGTTAGCCAAGAACCTGTTCTTTTTACTGGATCAATTGAAGAAAATATTCGTTTTGGAAAACAGGATGCAACTGATGAAGAAGTTCAAGCTGCTGCTAAAATGGCTAATGCACATGATTTTATAATGGCACTTCCAGAAGTATGTTTCTTTCTTTTTTATTATTATTTTTTGCAATAATAAAATTCTAATGATATGTACAGAATTATAAGACATTGTCAGGTGATAAATTAAGTGGTGGTCAAAAACAACGAGGTAAAATTAATGAATATGTGTTAATAAATTCAAAATATTATTATCATTTCAGTGGCTATTGCTCGAGCATTGGTTTCGAATCCAAAGATTCTTCTTTTAGATGAAGCAACAAGTGCACTTGGTTTGTTGTTTTTTTTCTTTTCTATCATTTTTAAAAATTAGAAAATAAATTTTCAAACAAAAAATAGATAATACAAGTGAACGTGTTGTACAAGATGCACTGGATAAAGCAAAAGCGGGTCGAACAACAATTGTAATTGCTCATCGTTTGAGTACAATACGAAATGCTGATTTGATCATTGGATTAGAACGTGGGAAAGTTGTTGAAAGTGGAACTCATGTTGATTTGATGGAATATAAAGGTCTTTATTATGAACTGGTGACCACTCAAACTCAAAAAGAAAAAGAAGCTGATCCAGACATTGATAAAGAAGACGATGAAGTGGAAAAAGAATTTGTTCGAAGAAGATCATGTATGTACTCCTTCAATTATGATATTTTTCTGAAATGCATTTAATATCCTATTGATTTTAGTACATAGAATATATTCAAAACAATCAATTGCCTCAAAGGACGATTTCAGTGAGATTGAGAACGACGAGGATGAAACGGTACCCGATGATCCAAAGAAAAAAAAGTATGGTCATACTCCATTTGCATTTAAAATTTTCAAACTGAATGCTCCAGAATGGCCTTGGATTCTTCTGGGTGCAATTTCTTCTCTTATCCTTGGTGCTACTCAACCAATTTTTGCGCTGTTCTTTGCACAAGTCTATGGTTTATTTGGGGAACCAGATCTTGAGAAGCAAGAACGTTTAACAAGTGTTTATGCTGGTCTTATATTTGTTGTTGGTTTTATTGGAGGAGTAACTCAGTTTTTGAGTAGTTTTGCATTCGCGAAATCAGGCGAGGAGTTAACTTTGCGTATGCGAAAATTAACATTTTCTGCTATGATTCGACAAGAAATTGGCTATTTCGATTATGAGGCAAATTCAGTTGGTGCTCTTGTCACACGTCTATCAACTGATGCAGCTGCTTTGAAGGTAAGCATATCTAACAAGACTAGTTTTCCAATTGATTCTTCGCTTTTAAGTCGGGACTATTTCTATAATGTATAACATAATGACCTGTGAATAGTCTGAAAAAATTTCGGATCTAGCTCATTCCTTCGGAGTTTGTGCATTCGTACGACTTTTTTATTCCCGTGCTTTGGTCCTCTCGGGCAAAAAAGGAAGAATTTTTTTCCATTATCGACTGAAAATATTCCATAAAGGCAAGCTTTAACGATATTAGTTCATTGTGACAGTTTTAGGCCTTTTGATTCACTTCTATTCTGAGACATGACTGTGGTACAAGTCTGTCTTTTACATTGCTCGTATAGACCAGTAGATTTATTGGTCTTATTCTAGTATGAATGCAAATCAATAGATCTGGAGCTTTCATGATAAACTATGCTCGTTCAAATCTGTCTCTATGCAAGTTTCGATTTGGAATTTGAAAATAAGTTTTCCCTATCGTCATTCGAGGACACCATGGCATTAACTTTAAAGAAAACTCTAAAAATGTAACATGTGCAGAACAATAAACTAAGGGCTCGAATTCTATTCAGAGTATTTATACTTAATTAGGATCTTCACGATAGAAATAGTCCGAATTCAAAAACAATTAAATACTTAGAGATCTCCTTTGTGAGCTTCAGTTTTACGACACATGATAAGATATTTCTATAGGGTATGACTGGCGTTCGTATTGGTATCTTATTTCAAGCACTGAGCGCTTTGGTAACAGCTCTTGTTATTGCATTTATGTCTGGATGGAAATTAACATTTGTTGTACTCTGCTTTGTTCCTCTAATTACATTTGCTGGGAAAATGCAAGGAAAAAAACAAAGTAAAGCTGGTAAATCAAATGGCAAAGACTCATTCAGTGAGTTAGGCGGACAGGTATAAAGAGACAATATTATGATTTCATCATCTTTTGATTTGATAAACATTTTATGTATAGTATGCCACACAAGCTATAGAACATGTTCGAACAGTCGTTGCTCTTCATCAAGAACAGTATTTTATCGATTTATATGAGGATGCATTCAATCAAGAATTCAAGTATGCATCTTTGTTATAGTTTTTTTCCTATTCAACTCATCCTATAAACGGTGTTTCTATTCAGGAAGCAAAAGTATCATATACCTCTGGTTGGATTAGGTGCTGCAATTGCGAATTCAATCATGTATTTTCTTCATACTGCTACTTTTTCATATGGTAGTAAACTTGTCAGCAATCATGAAATGACATTTGATCATGTGTTCAGGTAGAAGATATTTTTGAGACTCAGATAATGATATATAAAAGTTATTTATTAGAACATTTGCCGTTATTACTTTTGCCATGATGACTATTGGTCGTTCAATGGCTATGATTCCTGGTTATGCGAAAGCAAAAACCGCAGCATTACGAATCATGCGACTTAATAAACGACAATCACAAATCGATCCTCATGATGGATCAGGTATCATTTTGGTATTTATTGATTTATTTGAATAATCGATTTCCACAACAGTTAATCTATATTTAATGTTTAGAAAGAAGTTATAGGCAATATTGAATTTAATGATGTTTATTTCCGATATCCAACTCGACCAACACTTCGTATTCTTAGAAATTTCTCATTAAAATGTCCAAGTAGTAGTACAACAGGACTTGTTGGTCCATCGGGTAGTGGAAAATCAACAACTATTGCATTATTACAGCGATTCTATGATCCATTGAAAGGGAAAGTTTTACTTGATGGACATGATATAAAAGTTCTTAATATACAATGGCTTCGATCAATAATGGGTCTTGTTCAACAAGAACCAGTTCTTTTTAATTTATCTATTCGTGATAATATTGCTTATGGTGATAATGGTCGAGAGGTGACACAAAATGAAATTGAAACAGCTGCAAGAAAGGCTAATATTCATGAGTTAATTAGATCATTACCTAAAGTTCGCTTTTTTTGTTTTTTCTTTCGTACACATTTGATCTAATCTTTTGATATTATAGGGTTATGAAACAACATGTGGAGCTAAAGGTAATCAATTATCTGGTGGACAAAAACAGCGAAGTGAGTAATTTGATGATGTACTATGTAATAAATGAATGTATAATATTTTAGTTGCTATTGCTCGAGCATTAATTCGTTCACCAAAAATTCTTCTTCTTGACGAAGCGACATCAGCATTAGATAATAAAAGTGAAAAAGTCGTTCAAGCCGCATTAGATAAAGCAAGATCTGGTCGAACATGTTTAAGCATTGCTCATCGTCTTTCGACTATTCAAAATTCAGAAAAAATCGCTGTTGTTAATCGAGGCAAAATGAAGGAAGAGGTGAATATATTTATTTAGATTTTTTGTTGAAATATAAAAATTTTTTATTGAACTATTTAATTAGGGCACACATGATGAACTCTTGAGATTAAATGGAGTTTATGCTAAATTAGCATCAGCACAAAACCGGACAACTTAATTAAAGAAAAATACCGAGACACGAACGATGATTTTTTTTTGACTAACCACATGATTAATGTCCAACATATGTAATTGTCTAAAATTCTGCATCGAACAATTTGGTGTATTATCAATGTGATATTGACAAAATATAATATTGTATTATAAATCTAAAATTCAGCTTTATAAAGTTTTGTAAATTTATATAATAAATCATTATTTATTTAACATGTGAGTTTATCCATAAAAATAGCAAAAGAAAATTAAATTTGTGTTAATAATTACCATGTGTATTCTCTCAAAGAACTTTTGATGAGAAAATGAGAACATAGATACAAGGCCTTCAGGATTACTGAAACATATACGATAACTCGAAAAATTAACATAGTATATTGCTGTCGGAGAAAAACGTGTTATTGATCTATGTTCACAATATTCTTCAAAATTTGTTGTAAAGTATACGAAAATGTAAATATTTCATTGATTTCTTGTAAAACAAGAACATACTTCAATAATATACTAGAATAAACTCGTATATTTTCTTTGTTTCGAGAATGTTTTATATTTTTGATAATGAGCAATTTTTTGAAAACGCTGAAAATTAAATTTTACTCAGCTGTTAAATTGTGTTATTTTAATAGAATTTCAATACATTCCCCAATGCTTTTCTTTAAAAGCTGAAGGAAGCTGAATTCATATTAGAGTCATGGTTGAAGCGCATATTGTCTGATCGAATAATATCATCAATACAATTATATATACGAACAAAGTCTCTTTATTTTAATACTTTTTATGTGATAATAGTAAATCTCATATTCTCTTCATAGACTCTTATAAGAAAGAAAAAATAATGTGTATTATTGAATAAAACAATACATCAACTATATCTATTGAAAATAAAACCAACTAACAGTTAAATAACAAAACAAAATGAAAGTTTTTTTACGTAGGTGAAGTTAGCACCATATTCGAGTAATTCCTGTCCATATTTGTTCAGGAAACGTTTCGAGTGTTCCTATTTCTGGTCCAGATCGAATTTAACATTCTCTATCCAATAGTGCAATCGAATCAGCGACATCTCAAATCGTCCAATTACAGATAAAAAATACTGATTTTTTGCCATGAGACATAAGGTACCCGAATATGTATTCTGGTGCATATTCGCACAGGAAGCGTTCCAGCTGTTGTCATTTGTATTCTAAGTAGAATTCAATGTGCTTTTGCGAGCGCTTGTAACGAATTCACGATATCTGAAGCAGATCGTTTAGGACTCGAAACACAAGCATTTGGCTCGATCAGCCATCGCGAATTGAAGTAGTAGTTAGTGCTGTGGTTAGATCACAAACTGCTCCAGATATTCTCGCTTGTGCTCCATGGAGAATCATACATGCTCTGTCTAGTAACACAGAGAAAAAGGCCTGCAACAGGTCGTGGGCGAATCAGAGTATGGTTTAGTTCGGGACTTCACTATAGAATGAAGGTAGAAAACAATATTTTTTGACTCTGTAAAGTAATCATAGAAGATACCGTGAAACTGATCTCACCTTTTGATAGCGGATGTCAAGTTCTACGTAGGACAGAAATGCGAGCACGTAAAATGCTTCCTCCACGAATATAGGCAGGCATTACTATCCAGGTTCCGTACGGCCAATGGGAAGAGATCAATATGTTTTGAATTGTGCATGAATAGTTCAAACTATTATCAATCGGTTTTCATTATTGGATAGAGAATGTTGAGTTCTACTTGAAACAGAAATAGGAACGCTTCTTTAACGAATATGGACAAGAATTACTGCTTGGGTTCCCTTGGACTCATAGAGAAAAATCAGTATTCTTGAAATTGTGCACAATTTGTTGAAGCTATTGTCAATAAGTTTTCACCTTTTGATAGAGCATGTCAAAATCTACTTGGAACACAAAATGGAAACAACTGGAACGCTTCCTGTGTGAATATGGACAGGAATTACTCCAATATGGTGCTAGCTTCACGTATGTAGTTTTTTTAAAAAGAAAATGAATTAAATTTTTCCGTGAAAGACAAGGATCAGTTTATTTTAATAATTTTAGTTGCTAAAGTAATTTTCCCCATTCAGCATAGTAAAAATTGTCCATTATCAGATTTTTGTTTCCAAGTATCATTTCCATGTAACGAAAATCGCCAAAAAAAGCGTCGATTTGCGGCTAAAAAGTGATTCGGTTTTTGTGATATGGATTGACTTGCATCATTTTAGACTTTGTGTTGTTTTGTTCCTGCAAAAGATAAATATTGCAAGTTTCATATTTTTAAATTTTAGACGATCATAATAAAGAATGCGACAATAACAATTTCTATTTATCGTGTTCAATATACAAATCAGTTTTCCTTCGACTTCAATAAAACTATTTGATGCTTCATCTTCATCCTTGTCAAGAGAAAGAGAAATCAATTCAATGATATTGTTTCGAAGTTATTAATTGATGTTATGTTATGTTCTACTTTTATTATTTAATTGAAAAACATAATATAGGTTCGTATGTGCAGAACATAAACTTGTTCATTTTCTTCTCAAATCGGAGAATAAAACCGAACTATATCAGGACGAAGAGAAAAAGAAAAGAATGGAAGAAAACAGCTGACGAAACTCACTGTAAAGATGAACTTATAGAATGGTATAGATGGCATATCATAACACTTGAAATTCGTTTATATTTTTTGTAGAGTATCTTGCATCGCTTTTGTTTCTGCTAATAACAATTTGAATTCTTCTTCATGTTCATTTTTCAAATATCTTACGCATATAATTTTGCTTTATCCAATGCTATACTTACAATAAGTTCGTATATGATGGCCATTATCTATCAAAGATAGATTGAATCAGGTTAGTTTTAGAAAAAAAAGAGACGAACTTTTTTCTGTTTTTATAAACGAACATACCATTCATTTGCCTATTGAAGTTATAATGCTTTTTTTTATTTATATGATTTAAGTACTTTCGATGAGCTTTTACAGGAAAAAAGATCTTTACTATAGACAAAAAAAAACTTGTTAGCGCAGCCCTTTTGGAGCTGAAATATGGAATTCGCATATGCTCTATAGCATCATTAAGATAATACAAAATACATAAAGTGATAAATCTCTTGCAGATTATAGTTGTTTTGCAGGATAATCGATGCCCAGAATAATGATGTGTCTAATTTCTGCATTTCGAATAGACTTTCAAATTCTTTTCGACGGACGCCCTATTGTTTGTTTGCATTGTTACTATTCGCTCATTATTTTTCATTTTTTTAAATTTCTTTTTCTTAATTTAACATTCTTATTATTATCATTATTGAACTAATTGAGAAATAAGTCTGTTTTACATATTCATGATATCTCAAGGGAGAAAAGCGAGGCACCATAAGTTGGAGTACAGCTGAGGTACAGCTGAAGTATAGCTGAAATACAGTGAAGTCTAGATGAAGCACCAGGAGTACGTACTCACTGGACTCCATTGTACTTCAGCTGTACTCCAACTTATGGAGTCTCGCTTTGTCCCCCTTGTGATATCTACAGCAGATCTTACGCACTATCATATATATTAATCAGCTCTCAAAAAATGATATTCATTATTTTTCAAAATTATAACTTGACCAATTTTTCAAAAAAACTCTAGAAAACCTGACGCCTATGATTCTCGATTGCTAAGATCCGTGCTGGGGAGGGGAAGAGAGGAGCCACGAGAGTGTGCGTGTGTGTGTGGGTTGGTTTGAGGAGAATAAAAACCCCAACCAGACCCGCACCACACACACTCTCACACAGAGCGAAAATATGATATAATAGTTATAAAAGGCATAAAAAAAGAACAGAAATCATCACAAGCGAATCAGTTATTTAAATTGTTTAATATCTGTATTTTTTTCTGAAATACTTATCAAAGATTAAAAATAACTATGATAATATTTATTAACGATTGCCTTTAACTGTTTCTAATATATTGCATATCAATAAACCAAATCCTTTCGTGAAAAGTGCAACCATTTCAATAATTAAGTAAGTATTTATCTGTTTTTAATTAGCTATTTAATTCATTTGACTATCCAGCAGTGCCTAGGACCCAAAAATTGGCAATTCAAAAAAATTTAAGCAATTCAAGGAATTCAATATATCCATTTAACCTTAAGCATATTGCTTGAAACAATCATGAAATTCAAGGAATTCCAGGAAATTCAAATAATCCAGGAAAATTCAAGTAATTCAAGAAATTCAGCACATCATATAATTTCATGAATTCCTTGAATTCCATCCTAGGTAGACTTGTAACTCGCTATGGTATGTACGTTTCTTGAATTTCTTGAATTTCTAGAATTTCCTTTGATTTCTTCAATTGCTTGATTTTCATGAATTTCCAGAATTCTATCATAGATTAGAGTTATAACTCCCTTTCTTCTGTATCTTTGCTGAGTTTCTCAAATTCCGTTGAATTTCTTCAATTACTTGATTTTCTTCATTTTCGTGAATTCCGTCATGGTTTAGGCTTGTAACTCACTATGCTGTGTATCTTTGTTGTATTTCTTGAATTTCCTTGAATTGCGAATTTCTAGATCCTAGGTATATCTCAGCAAGACTCATCATTCACTCATACGTAACTATGCCCTTGGCAAGGTGGTGACGAAGCAGTTTTTCAGCCGGTTCGGGTATCTCTGATAGGTAACACTTAGCGTGTATCAATTGAGATATTCGAATTTTAAGGTATTTACATTATATGTAAGGCGTTTGCAAGTCAAAATTTCAGCCGAGTTTTTTCATAATGGTTGGATAGAACTTATCGAGTTGTATAGGAAAAACTATAGCTGAAATGAAAATAATATTTGGAATAAAATTTCCAAGGCATCATCGTTTTGCAATATACCCATGAAGAAGTAGATGAAGTCCGTATACACTTCCTAATTCACTGGAGACGATAGTATTTTTTCGGATTGTATACGGAGAAATATAAGCATTTACGGCAAAATATGGAGTAAAACGGAGGTTAAATACGAATTTCGCATACAAACTGTATCAGTGATCGTATTTCTCTGCATACAATACGGTGAAATACGATAGTAATACGTATAAATATAATAAGCAAAAATACGAGGATTTATAGTCATTTGCAAGCATGCTGATTCGCCCTGGGTAAGAGAAAATAGACCTGAGATTCTGACTTTTGTAGATAAAATTTTCTTTTAAATTTGAAACATTTTTTCTTATACAACTCGATGAACTCGGTGAAACCATCATGGAAAAAAACTGCTGAAATATTGAATCGCGAGCACTTTACATAATACTATAAATACCTTGACATTCAAATATATCGAAGGGTGCACACTATATTTTAAACTTGTTAGTTTATCGGTGAAATCTTTAATTTGATTTGAATATATCTAGTCTTATTCATTAACAACCGAAAGACATTTCTTATTAAAATAAAACAAAGAAACAAATAGTATTCGTTTTTTCGTTTGTTTTTCTTTTCATAGTAATGTTTAATAGACAATCCATTCATTATTTGACATATTATATCCACCGTATCATTAGAGAAATGATTCTAATAGTGAGGATATTTAAATCTGTTAATTGTAATGTCATAGATATTTCCAGACAGCTAATTGAATATAATTCAAAGAAGATGCATCTATAATATGTGATATTTTCATCAGGAAAAGTTTCAAATAAAATGATGAAAGGTTTTTATAATGCAAATGCAAAGGACAAATAACTTTCAAATATCATGTCATAAGATTATTGCCAATCCTTACTGTTACATTTTTTTTGTCATTATGTGCATTGTTTTGTTGTTTTTAAACAGAAACCAAAGTCATTATAGTGCATGTCTCGTCCGAAAACGCACCTTTCGAATGTTGATATACAATTATTTTTCATATCTAAAGAAAAAACAATAGTGTCATTTTTTATGAGTCTCTATTATATGTCTTATCAGCTCGAAAGAATCAGAATAAAAAGTACTTAGCTTTCTCTGTTTTATTTTCATTCTTTATTTTAGAGGTAAGCATTGAAAACAAGTTTCTTAGTTAAAATCATTACATATTTTTCTAACAGGCTGATCTATACATCGTTAAACCAAGTTACTCTATGTATTAATTATGTCATTTGTTTTTAAAAAGAAAAGCTACAGCTGGAATATCAATCATGATAGTATTAATTATAAAGATAAAGAAACTCCTTCTTTCAAGACAGAAAATGGCTTATCAAAATCAGAAATACCATTAAACGATAAAGTTCAGTATGTATCTGATTAGCAGACAGCGTCCTCTTTTGATTAAATAAGAAACAGATAGTTTTTTCTTTTATTGCTATTAAATAAAAACTTATGCATTTTTTGACCGATCTAGCAAAAATATAATCCTTACATTCTGAATCGTTTGATAATATAACGTAATATGATATATATATGAAAGCCATCTTCTCACGTGTTCATCGATTGTAACCAATGACTTTTTAGTTCAAAAAAACAGTTATCAGCTGGCATTTGCCAATATAATAATGAGATAGAATTTAAAAGAACTTTCTGAATAGTGCCCAGAATTCAACACAATGAAAAAATTAAGAAAATCGAACGCAAATCGAAAAAGGTCTTTCTTATACTTTGACATTTGTTTTGTTCATTATACACGTGAGAAGTATATGGATTTCTAGGTCAGTACAAACGATCAGTAATGAAGATAATGAATTAAAAAAAACTTTATTCAATGAAAATAATTTGGATGGAATTGACGAAAATTTAGAAACTAAGGTCGTCAGTTTTGTTATAAATGAATCTGATGATAAAACAGAAGGAAATGAGTCTTTGTAAGATTTTTTTTTTTAAATAACCATAATATTTTTTTATAATTGTATTTCAATAGAGGATCTCAAAAGAAGGATGCTAAAAAACAACCTCCAACTCGAAGATTAGAGCTATTCGAAATTGTAAGTTAATATTCAAGTATTATTTATTTTTCAATTTGTTTCTTTTTTTGTTTTTAGTATAAATTCGCTGATAAACTTGACGTTCTTTTGATGTTTATCGGTACTATTGCTTGTATCGGTACTGGGTAAGTATTTTATTAGTTTATGATAGCAGAAGACGCTTTTGTAGCATATAAATAAATCAATGGCGCATTTCAAATTTTACAAGAGGAAATCGTTTTAGTGAGAAGTGGGGCACTTATAATCAACAAACATATTTTAAATTTCATCATGGGATTATCAGCTCATTTTCGAGCTTTTCTACTGAGGAAACTATTTAGAAAATGCTTTCAGAAAAGGGCGATCGCCCCCTCTTGCGTCATAAATCTACTACACAATGCAATGTTTTGTAAACAAAAAGAAAGAAAAATATTTGAAGTTCAAGAATAGTACAATTTTTCTATTTTTAGAGCTGTATTTCCATTAATGATGTATGTGTATAAAAGTATGTTTTTTTTCCTAAAGATAAACTTTTTATTCTTATAAAAACAATTGTAGATGTTGCAACATCATTGGTAAAAACTAGTATTCCTTCAATTCTACCAAATTTAACAGAATTTCCTGATATTAATACACAATGGTTCGATTTTTTTATTTAATTCTTTTTTTTTGTTCTCTTTTTAATTAAATTTTTTATTTTACTTAATTAGTATTCCTAAACCAGGAAATTCAACTGCAGATACTTTATCCGAGCTTCGTGGAATGATTAAATGGTATGTTATATTAGGCTGTATTAGTGTTCTTTGTTACTGGATTGGTTTTTCATTATGGGTATGAAAAAGAAATGTAGTATTTGAAATAAATGAATCAATTGAATATAGATGATTGCGGCTGAACGTCAAGTTCGACGCATAAGATTTGCATTATTTCGTTCAATTCTGAATCAAGAAATGGGTTGGTTTGATAAACTAAATCCTGGTGAACTTAGCAATCGTTTAGTAGCAGATTTAGGTAACAAGGATCATGATGAATTTTATCTATTTATTATTCATTAATTTCTTTTATAGACAAACTTCGTGATGGTTTAGGAGATAAAAAAGCTGAGTTCATTAGTTTAATCTGTCGATTATTCGGTGGTCTTATATTTGCTTTTATTACAGGTAAATTTAAAAAAAAACTAAATTAATTAAATAAAATTCTTTGTTAAAGGATGGAAATTAACATTAGTGTTTTTATCACTTAGTCCGTTGACTATTATTGCATTCAATATTACTATGAGAGTTTGTTGATAAATAAAAAATGAACACAAAAGAAAAACAAAGAATTAAAAAATATTTTTGTTTATATAGGTTATTACAAAATATACAGTTAAAGAAATAAAAGCATTTTCAAAAGCAAGTGCCGTAGCACAAGAGGTTCTTGGTTCAATTAGAACTGTAACAGCTTTCAGTGGACAAAAAAAAGAAGAAGAAAGGTTTGAATAAAAATTCAAAAAATATCTATTCAAATTTTGATTTGATTTAGATTTTCAGAGAATTTACTTGAAGCAAAGCAAATTGGTATAAAAAAAGGTCTTTATATGGGTATATGTCAAGGAGCTGCTCAAGTAGCAATTTATGTATCATTTGCAATTACATTTTGGTGTAAGTATATAAATACCCTACTAATCAAAAATAGTAATATCGAGTAAAACTAACTGAAAAATTCGAGCATTTGAGCTGAGAAGTTTTGGCACAAATCGAGCTCAGTAGGCCCTTATCCCAGATATTAATACACATTCATTAGGATGACCAATAATGCAGTTGTGAGTCAAACACTAGTTTGAATTTAGGACATTCGAATTTCTACCATTCGATCATCTTCATTTTCCACGAGAATCCTCGTTCATTAGCTAGACATCTAGTTTTTCTACTATAAAGATTTTGGTGCGGAACCACCATTATCTTATTGAATTCTATTTCTATATTAGAAATTAGACACTTACTACTTCATTGTTTAATCAAAACTTAACTTTCAATTGATAAAACAACCAAAACTTTTGTCACCATTATTTTTGTTTTTTTGAACTAAATATTTGTTTCGAATTGAAACTCCGACATATAATTAGTAGAGCCGAATTGGTGCCGAATCCCGACTCGTTGATCTCTAGTATACACATTTTTCAGATGACTCGTTTGGAAAATGTGTAGAGTGCAGCATTAGTCATAGAATACAAAAACCCGAAAAAATGAATCTCGTATTTTCGGGACGACTATCCTATTCTGATTAGAAAATTTCATTAAAAGTATCAAAGTACGGTTCGATCGAGTCTGCATCCTGGTCCCAAAAGTATTCCATAAGCCGGATCCGAAAATGTTGGACCCGATGAGTTCTATAAATGAGTCTTGCACTCTTAGTATCAAGCTTCTTCAATAAATTTTATTCCTCAATAGCAATCATTCTCTAATTTGTAATAAATCTTCTCCGGCTATTACGGATTCTTCAGAAAAAACGATTGAAATCTATCTCAATTACAATCAATTTATCGATAGGCACTTCTACGTTTGTGACAAATGATTTTCAAATACAAACATAGAACTCAACAAGACAATGTTGATTTCGTACAAAAAAAGCTTTACAGTAGAAAGGCTAAATGTCTAGCTAACGAATGCAGATTCTTGCGTAAATAAAGATCCAGGTATCCTAACGTCAAAATAATGTTTGACTCACAATTGGGTTATTTGTCATCCTAACGAATGCGGGTAGATATCTAGGATTAGAGTCTAATGAGCTCTATTTGTGATACAACTTTTAGCACCAACGCTCAAATTTTGGGTCACTTTTAGTTAGTACTTTAATTTAATTTAAAAATGACAATGTTTCAATTTAGATGGACCATATCTTGTACGAACTGAATGTGATAACTATGATGCTGGATCTGTGATCGTTGTATGTAAAACAAACTATAAAAGAAAATAACAAATATTTATTAGAGAATTCTTAGATTTTTATTTCATGTTTACAATCAACATTTAGTATTTCTCAAATAGTACCAAATATTCAAGCATTTGCTGAAGCATCTGGTAGTGGTGGTTATGTATTTGATATTATATCAAGAGTAATTCTTTATTATATTTTCTTTGGATTTATCATGTTTTCTTTTTTATTAGATATCTAAAATTAATGCATTTAAAAATGAAGGTGAAGTGCTGTCGAGCATTGTTGGTGATATTGAACTTCAAAATGTTACATTCACATACCCTGCTCGAGAAGACACACCAGTTAGAAAGAATAAAAATTATTTTTTAATCATATGAAAAATTGTTTATTAGATTTTAAAACATGTTTCTATGAAAATTCCATCGGGTAAAACACTTGCTTTAGTTGGAGCATCAGGATGTGGAAGTTAGTTTTTTTGTTTCTATGTTTTATCGATAATAAAATGTTTTATTTTAATAATAGAAAGTACAACAGTTCAATTAATCCAACGATTTTATGATCCAGATCAAGGTCAAATTTTACTTGATGGAAAAGATATTAAAAAATTGAATGTTGCATGGCTTCGTTCACATATTGGTATTGTTAGTCAAGAACCTGTTCTTTTTACTGGATCAATTGAAGAAAATATTCGTTTTGGAAAACAGGATGCAACTGATGAAGAAGTTCAAGTTGCTGCTAAAATGGCTAATGCACATGATTTTATTATGGGACTTCCAGAAGTATGTTTCTTTCTTTTTTATTATTATTTTTTGCAATAAAAAAATTCTAATGATATGCACAGAAGTATAAGACAACATCGGGTAATAAATTAAGTGGTGGTCAAAAACAACGAGGTAAAACTACTGAATAATTATTAATGAATTCGAAATATTATTGTCATTTTTAGTGGCTATTGCTCGAGCATTGGTTTCGAATCCAAAGATTCTTCTTTTAGATGAAGCAACAAGTGCACTTGGTTTGTTGTTTTTTCTTTTCGATCATTTTTAAAAATTAGAAAATAAATTTTCAAACAAAAAATAGATAATACAAGTGAACGTGTTGTACAAGATGCACTAGATAAAGCAAAAATGGGTCGAACAACAATTGTAATTGCTCATCGTTTAAGTACAATACGAAATGCTGATTTAATCGTAGCATTAGACAAAGGCGAAGTTATGGAATATGGGACTCATAATGTATTGATGGATAATAAAGGTCTTTATTATGAATTAGTAATAGCACAACAACGTAAAGAAAAACATGAAGACGATGATTCATCCGATGAAGATCAACCGGTAGAAATACCTGATAAAAGTAATGAATAATAAGATAAAAATTGATATGTGATCTATTTTGATTTAGATGCTTTACTTCGTCGGCGTACGATATCATTTGGTTCAGTACAATCAGTACCATCTGACATTCCTGATATTTATGAAACGGATGATAAAACAATTGAAATAAAAAATAGAAAATTTTGTCATAAACTATTTATTTTTAAAATTCTTAAACTTAATTTACCAGAATTAAACTGGATTATACTCGGATGTGCAACATCAATTCTATTCGGTGCTATTTCACCGGTAAATCTATGTTTTAAATGAAATTTGCTTTTGTTATTTATTATGAAGCATGGTCTAAAAGAAATGTTGAAATATAGGGATAAAAGTTTGGATCCAGCTCCCCTTCCTCCACAGACCGTAACAGACGCTGGAGAAAGATCATCACAGAGTGTGACAGTCGTTGGTCAGGGATCATCATAGGCCGCAGAAAACGCTGGTCAAAGATCATCACAGATCAAATAATAATAAAATCTCGTTATAGTATTTGAACTACTTCCTTGTTACATATCGAGAGAATGAAATAAAAGGATGATGAAGAAAGGTGTCCTAAACTGGATTGAAACAATAATCTAGCTGCAATTTACAATAACAGCTGCATCATTTCTCACATTTTAATTCCGCATGCATTGTACTAACAGCATTTCTATTTAATTTTAGTTATTTGCATTATTTTTCTCAGAAATTTATGGATTATTTGCTGAACCAGATGTTGTAAAAGCCAATGAGCAAACACGTAATTATGCATTAATTATATTTTTTATTGGAGTTGGTGGTGGTGTATGTCAATGTCTAAGTAGTATTTCATTTTCCAAAAGTGGTGAAGCACTAACAATGCGCATGCGTATTATATCATTTGCATCAATGCTTAGACAAGAAATAGCTTGGTTTGATAGGGAAGAAAATAGCCTCGGTGCTTTAGTAACTCAACTATCATCAGATACATCAAATTTAAAAGTAATTAAAAGATATTTAATTAATAGCTGAATTACAAAAAAAAAATACTTATTCGTTTAGGGTTTATCTGGAGTTCGAATGGGTATTATTTTTAATGCAGTAGGGGCAGTTGTATGTGCATTGACAATAGCTTTTCAAGCTGGATGGAAATTGAGTTTTATTGTTTTATTATTTGTACCATTAATGGTTTTTTCGGGTATTTTACAAGGAAAACGAATGAGCAATACAAAAAAGACTACTGAAAAAAAAAGTGGTCGTTTATCTTGGGCAGAAAAAGGAGGAACGGTAAAAACTTCATTTATTGTTTTTATTTGATTTTTAATAATTATTTTCATATTTAAGTTTGCAACAGAAGCAATTGATAGTATTCGAACTGTTGTTGGATTGCATCAAGAAGAATATTTTATTGCTCATTATGAAGATTGTTTTAATAATGAGTTTAAGTAAGATTTTTTTTTAATACGAACTAAAAATATTGCCAATTGCTTGCTTTCATTTTTTTTCTCTTCTTATAGACAATCAATATTGAAAATACAAATACAGTCAGTCGGAACAGGTCTCGCTAATTCAATAATGTTTTTTATTCATGCTGCTGCATTTGGATATGGAAGTGTTTTAGTTGAAAATGGAGAAATGACAGCTCCTCTTGTATTTCGGTAGATGAATAAGTATATTAATATAGAATATATTGAAAATAAATTTTTCTTTTAGAGTTTTTTCAGTAATTACATTTGGTGCAATGAGTGTAGGACGGTGAGTTAGATTAATAGATATTTTATTTCATGAAGAATTAATTATTACAGATCAACGGCTATGATACCTGATTATGCAAAAGGAAAAGAAAGTGCTATTCGAATATTAAAATTAAATAATCGTCAATCAAATATTGATCCTCAAGACACGAATGGAATTGTATTAGTAAGTATTCATAAATCAAATTTGGAATCTATAAAATGTGAAAAATAATACTAACGGAGAGGAACGAATCCAAGTGATAAATCGCTTTAGAGCCGAAAGCTAGTGATAAATAGGTAATCAACCATGTTGAATCTAAATATCAGGAAATCCCATGCTGCTAGATTTTCAGAGGTCCGAGACTTTTGAAAATCAGGCGACTGCAGCGAAAGCCTTTCTTTGCCAAAATACTTCTCTGATCTATGCAGATTGTAGAACACATCAAATTCTGTAGAAAAAGCTGTGTTTTCACTAAATTCAGTTGATTTAGTATGACTAAATATCATAATCCTTAATTCAGCCAAGTCTTCTGCCTAAATGAATATGACAGGGTAGACATAACTTTCCAAGCAACATTGTTCGTGTGGAAGTTATTTTCTGATCATTTAGTCCTTATCCGCTTAGGACCAACATACCCTAACTCTAAGAACCTGATAAGAGTGAGAATATGGGTGAGGAAAAGTTTTTCTTGTGACAGAATTTTTCTTATTGTCTGATAATCAAAAGATATCTGTTGTGTGAGCGTGGGTGTGGATGCTATCAAAGCAAAGACTCACGTCCACATTTTAAAAAAACGTTCCGCCTGCTATAAAGAGCTCTACGGATGCTTCAGAATAGTGGAAAATATTTTTTTATACCCACCTTGATGAGCCCTACAATCTGGATGGATCAAAAAAGTATCTTGACGAAAAAAGGCTTTTGCTGCGGTAAACCGTTTTTCAAGAGTACCGAATCTCTGAACCTCTAACAGAATGATAGATCCTGCATTCAGATTTAGCGTGATCGATTACTTATTTTCCATTGGATTTTCGACTCGAAAGCGATTTATCACTTGGATAGATTTCTTCGTAAGAAAATCTTAAAAGCATTCGATCTTATCACTAGTCACTCCTCTCTGATAAAGTCAATAAATATGACGGCAACAAAAATTTTATTTTTTCAGACAATCATGTAATAGGTTATCCTTATAGTTTGAGATTAAAAATATATCAAACAAATAATTTAACTGAATTATGAAGAATCTAATCTCTAGCTTTTCCTTTAATGTATGAGAAATCAAAAACGCAACTTTATGATCTTAATAGTCCATGGAAAAATGACGAAAATAGAATATATTCAGACATTATAAACAGTAGATCAAACGAGGAGTTCAACGCTCTGACTCTTCATTGTATAAAAGCAAATTTTGACAATATTCAAAATGTTCATGATGAGTCTCATAATATTTATTTGTATATCATCTGTATGGAACAATTTCTGGAAAGAGAAGTGTAGCTATTTGGAAATAAACGAGTAATACTATCTCATATTTTAGTTCAGATCTATTATTTGGATATTAGTTACATGTTAATTTGACAAAAAAAAAAGTTTTTTAAAGTTATCTCAATCTTATTGAAATTTATTTATGAGTGGAAGATGAACTTCAAAACTCAGAATTAGTCAGTATACTTTACTGGGAACAAAATCCAAACTGTCTCTTTTATTTCATTGAATGTGACAAGCACACAGAATAATGTTGCTTTTTGGAAGGATAAATATAAAATAAAAAGTTTTGTGAAACGATTTATTCAAGCTCTTATATCATTAAACTTTTTATTTAATAGAATGATATAAAAGGAAATATTCAATTCGAAAAAGTTAAATTTGTATATCCATCACGACCGAAATTACGTGTTTTAAAAGATTTTAATTTATCGGCAAATGCTGCTGAAACAACAGCACTTTGTGGACCAAGTGGTTCAGGGTACATATTAAATCTTAAGTAGATCTATTCGTTTTATTTTTACATATAATTTTATTTATAGAAAAAGTACATGTGTTGCACTTCTTCTTCGATTTTATGATCCATATGAAGGTCATGTTTTACTTGATGGACATGATATTCAAGAATTTAGTTTACCATGGTTACGATCACAACTTGGATTTGTTCAACAAGAACCCGTTTTATTTAATTTGAGTATTCGTGATAACATAGCATATGGTGATAATACAAGAAAAGTTACACAAGAAGAAATTGAACAAGCAGCAAAAAAGGCTAATATTCATGATTCGATTATTGCATTTCCTGAGGTTATATTGAAAAGAAAAACAATCGTTTCTATTTGTTTGTTTTTTCTGATCTTTTTTTCTAGGGTTATGATACAATGTGTGGTGCAAAAGGTGGTCAAATAAGTGGTGGTCAAAAACAACGCATTGCTATAGCACGTGCACTTGTACGTGATCCTAAAATTCTTCTTCTTGATGAAGCAACATCAGCATTAGATATTCGTAGTGAAAGAGTTGTTCAAGCAGCTTTAGAAGTAGCACGAAATGGTCGCACATGTTTGACTATTGCACATCGTTTAGCAACAATAAGAAACTCGGAAAAAATCGTTGTTGTTGATCGTGGACGAATTAAAGAAAGCGGTACACACGACGAACTTATGGAACAAAGAGGAATCTTTTATAAATTAAATATGGCTCAGGAACGCGATGATGAATAAGTAGTTTCGCTTTCTTCGCAGCGTTTTCCCTCGGCCGGTGCTCTATATACGAAGTGTTAGTCTATGTCCGATATATTCAAGTTTTTTTTTCTTATATTTTTATGTGCTGTGAATAATTCTTGTCTAAATGAATGCTGAAAAACTGTATCTAAATATTTTTATGTTAAACGAATACAGTAGTCTCATAAATGATCAAAATTTGTAAAGAGTTTAATTATCGTTGTATTTGAGCATAAGTTGAAATGTTATAAAAGAACTATTATTAAACTGAAGAATAAATTATCCTTTTTTTGTGCCTAAACTAATGAAATATGATAAATAAAGAAAATCTATTGAACAACTTGGCAAATCAAGGTACAATTAAGATTTGTATTTTGAGAAAAGAAATAAGTATTTCCATGTCGAATTAAAGTTGTTTGATGTGCAGCATCCTCATTAACTAAATCGATAGGTCAGTATTCATTTTGTGAAACATAATCTCAAAAGGAACGTTGAAGCATAGACGTAGAAATCTGCTTCACGCCTCCAACAGGTATTCTAACAACGTCCTTATCTATCACTGTCTGATGTTCTAGTAAAAACTCTACAAGGATTTGGATTCCTATCGAGATTTGATTAAACTATCGAATTTTTAAAATTTTAAAATGGAAGCTAGTCTAGTAAAGTTTTCTATATGCACAAAGCTTTAGATCCAAAATCGAAAACACAAGTTTTCCAAAAGTCTAAAGTCTCTAGAAAATAGCCATAAGGAAAATTCGATAGCTCAGTCAGTATCAATATGAATCAAAATCATTTTAGGATTTTTATTAGAACACAATTTAGTGTCTATCAGCAAACAATCATTGAAATCGCAAGACATTAGATGAAAAACTTACCTCGTTACTTGCAGCACTGGGAGACCAGATTTTCGGCACACGGAATTTTCGGCTCGAACTTTCCGTCCGGTCCGAAATTCCGGTGATTTTTCGGGTCGAGCCGAAATTCCTTGTGGACTTTCGGCCCATGATCACATTGGCCCTAAAATAAAAAACCTAACTTTTCAAAATTAGTTGCTAGACATCGTAGTGCTGAGCAGGACGTCATAGTGCTGAGTACTATGACGTTCTGCTCAACGCTACGATGTCTAGCAACTAGTTTTGAAGTCAGGTTTTTTTTATTTTAGGGTCAATGCGATCATGGGCCAAAATTCATGGAAACCACAGCACTAAAACCTTCTGTGCAATTATCATGCAAGAAGATTGAATTTAAGATACTTATCTTTGGCCCGTCGTTTCAAACTCACTGTAGCATATTACGAATAGCATCTTCCATCATGAATATATCAATAAGTTGTAACTTTCAAACTGAAAGCTATTTTGCGGATACAGATGTGTGCCCGTACTGATATTTTCATTGATTCCCGTGACAACTAGCATTTTTTTCGGTCATGTTTCTTAAATGATGTTTCAACTAATATTATTTATAGGATAAGCCGCTTAAAACCGTCAAATATTCTACTTCATTGTTTAATCCAACAGGAATTGTCCTAAAAACTTTTTCTCCTTTTTTCTTTTGAAAAGCATATCAGAATAGTAATAAACATAATGGCAAGTTCAAAATAATTATTACTAACATGACATTAGCTTTAACTGAATCCTTAACAGTCGACAAACTATTCTAATTTTACCATTATCAATGCATCATAAAAACATCTCTCATTAAATTTACAAGTTGTCTTTTTTCCTTTCTCTAAAATATCTTTTCTCAAAAACCGATCTTAACATTTACCGAGATCACAACATTCTAAAATGCTTTTAAACAATATAATAAAATCCATTTGAATAGATTTCATAAAAAAAATCAATCTCATTAAAAGCTGTTTTTTGTCGTTGTTTTTGTAAATCAGGATAACATTCATTACATGATCAAAACAAATGAGACATACAATAAATGTGTTTCACTCATCTCCTTTCATCCAATATGTTAAATAACAAAAACGCGAAAAAAGCTGCGCGAATACCCGTCAAGTTTCAATGAACATCAAGCAAAAAAACAACGAANATCATTTTAGGATTTTTATTAGAACACAATTTAGTGTCTATCAGCAAATAATCATTGAAATCGCAAGACATTAGATGAAAAACTTACCTCGTTACTTGCAGCACTGGGAGACCAGATTTTCGGCCCACGGAATTTTCGGCTCGGACTTTCGGCCCGGTCCGAAATTCCGGTGATTTTTCGGGTCGGGCCGAAATTCATGGAAACCACAGCACTAAAACCTTCTGTGCAATTATCATGCAAGAAGATTGAATTTAAGATACTTATCTTTGGCCCATCGTTTCAAACTCAGTGTAGCATATTACGAATAGCATCTTCCATCATTAACATATCAATAAGTTGTAACTTTCAAACTGAAAGCTATTTTACGGATACAGATGTGTGCCCATACTGATGTTTTCATTGATTCACTTGACAACTAGCATTTTTTCGGTCACGTTTCTTAAATGATGTTCCAACTAATATTATTTATAGGATAAGTCGCTTAAAACCGTCAAATATTCTACTTCATTGTTTAATCCAACAGGAATTGTCCTAAAAACTTTTTCTCCTTTTTTCTTTCGAAAAGCATATCAGAATAGTAATAAACAGATAATGGCAAGTTCAAAATAATTATTACTCGCATGACGTTAGATTTAACTGAATCGTTAACAGTCGACAAACTATTCTAATTTTACCATTATCAATGCATCATAAAAAACATCTCTCATTAAATTTACAAGTTGTCTTTTTTTCCTTCTCTAAAATATCTTTTCTCAAAAACCGATCTTAACATTTACCGAGATCACAACATTCTAAAATGCTTTTAAACAATATAATAAAATCCATTTGAATCGATTTCATAAAAAAAATCAATCTCATTAAAAGCTGTTTTTTGTCGTTGTTTTTGTAAATCAGGATAACATTCATTACATGATCAAAACAAATGAGACATACAATAAATGTGTTTCACTCATCTCCTTTCATCCAATATGTTAAATAACAAAAACGCGAAAAAAGCTGCGCGAATACCCGTCAAGTTTCAATGAACATCAAGCAAAAAAACAACGAAGACAAAAAGGCCGATTAGAATAAACATGCACAGAAAAAAAAACAAAAGAGATAACTATTTATGGTTTTCTTTTTCTTGGATAATAAACACATACATATATATAGACGAAGAAAAACAACAAAAACAAGAAGTGACAACCAACTTCTTCGAAGTAGTTTCTAAAGTAAATTATTTATTTAATTATCTGCAGGCGATCTTGAACGACTTCCACGACGAACAGCACTTCCGCTAGCAACACCATTTCGTTTACCAAAATTGGGTGAAGTTGATTTCGAATGCGAACGACTTGCTGGTCTGTAAATAAAACAATCATTTAATCAAATATGAATAATCATTTCTAATACAAAAAAATGATTTTTTTTTTATTTTAAAATCGCCTCAGAGATCTTAGTGGATAGTTATATCGTCATTCTATCGTTTCGATAGGTCAAGAGTAGCAACTATTGTCATCATCACTAGCGATATTCTCGTTTTCATATATAAATTGAATATGAAAAAAAATTTCATTTACCGTCGCGGTAAAGGTGAACGTGAATACGGTGAACGTGATCGACTACCAGCAGCACGACGACGATCTCTACCCGTTGGAGAACCACTTCGTTGACGACGGTCACGACTAAAATATTAAAATTATTTCATTAAAAACTGTTTACGAATAAATCTTTGCCTTCGTGATCGATCGCGTCGACCAAAGTTTCCACCACCTCCACGTCCATAACGTGCTTCTTTTTCTCTTGATCTCATTTCCGATGGCGCTTGAAAAAAGAAATATTACTCATTATTTTATGAATTAAATTTTCATGTAAAATTTTACTTTTACGATCACCTCTTGCAAATTCAACTTCAAGTTCTCGACCAAGTAAACGATAACGATCAAGAGCATGAAGTGCTTCTTCTACAATTAAAAATTAAATTCTTTATTATTACAGAAGAATTTTCATTTACCAGCATCACGACTTTCTTCATATTCAACAAAACCAAAACCTAAAAAAAAAAAACTTTTTCTATCTTCACAATATTCAAATCATCTCCAGTTACCTTTAGCATCTCTTGTATAATAATCTACAGGAAGTGTTATATCAACAATACGTCCATATCGACCAAAAATTTTCTTTAAATCTTCATAACTAAATAAAATACATCATCAATTAATAAGAAAAAAACAACGAATACATATATATATGTATATAGGATAATTTTTCCTATCTAATGGATAACTCTTTCTCAAATAAACAAAAAAGTTGCATACGTCTATTGTTTTGCTGCTGATGTGTAAATTTGTCTGAGACTGTCTTATTGCGTTTGATATGGGAAGAATAAAGAAAATTCTTTTTGACTTGATTTTGCTTGATTATTATGAATGGGTGTGGTGTGTGTGATTTATTTTGTTGGATCACGTTTGAAACACACCTTAGCAAAAAGAAAAGGTCAACATATTTCATCGATAGGGTAAATGTGATGAATTTCTTTGAAAAATACGTTTTTTTGTATATCTAAGGTAAGAAATACTTTTTTTTTAAATAAATTTAACATACCGAGTTTTTTCAGAAAGTCCACGAACATAAAGTGACGCACTAAGATTACGTGAATGACGACTCGACATTTTTAAGAAGGTTTATGCAAATGAATAATGTTCAATACACAGAAAACAAAATGAAGAGAAAGAAAGAAAGAAAGAATGGTTTTTCTATTTTGTTTAACCTCTAAATGCATTAATGTTCTACTTGCTATCTTTATTTCTATTGGTTAAATATTTAAGTCTAGAACATGTGTTCTTTGTGTGTATAGTCCGAATCGTCGGTATTTGTCCTTTATTTTCGTTCTACGAATACTAACAACAAACTGAAAAGATTCGTGAATAGATAAGATGATATTTTCTTTTCTTTTTATTGAAGAAGTCGTGAAATTGCGAATGTTATATGTGTAATTCTTTTGTTTTAGATTCTTTTTCTTTTCAAAATTTTTGAACATTTCTTGTCAAAATGGAAAGTAAGTTGGAAAAACGAAATGAACGTTAACCTGAATTTAGTTAAGAAGAATGACTATGAAATTATAAAAAAAATGAATCATTTTTCTATTGGATCTCTAGTCGAAAGGCTTGTATTAATCATCTTATTATTTATTTTTCTAGCACCAAAACGAAACGGACCAACAATAATAATTTCCGAAGGATCAGCAACTTTAGCTGAATCATCAGGTGGTCTTGCATTTGAAGTTAAACTTGCTGAATCACCACGACATACTGGAACAATTCATCCACCAACACATTTTCTTTCACCAAGTGCAAAAGGAAATCAAAATGATTTAACACCATTAACACCAGAAAGTATAACAGAAAAATTAAAACGTGCTGAAGAACGTCGTCTTAGTTTGGAACAACTTCGTGCAACATTACTTGCAGCAGAAAATAGTCGTCCAATTGAAGTTAGTAAAATAAAAGATCAACAAGCTGAAGGTAGAAAATTTTTATTTTATTTGAATTTAATAAACTTTATGTTTTTGTTTTATATTTGTAGAATTTAAAAAACAAACTGAAGAAAAATTACAAAGAAAACTTGAATCAGCAAAAGAAAATCGTGAACGTGTATTACAAGCTAAAGTTGAAAAAGCAAAAGCACCCGTTGAAAAAGGTCTTGCTAGTGTTCAACATAATTTAGCTAAACTTGAAGAAGAACGACAATTATTACAAGAAAGAATTAATCAAAAATTAAATACAGCTGAAACAAGTAAATCGAAAATTGTTTTTGCTTATTTCGTTTCATTGTTTTTTTTGTTAAGATCGACAAGAACAATTAGATCGTTTAATGGAAAAACTCACTGAACATGATAAAAAAATTGAAGCGATTAAAAGTCAGACTAAAATGGAAACAATTACAAGCGAAGAAACTGAATAAATCAATATGAACTCTACGAAACAACAAAATTTTTTTTTCTGTATTAAATACGAAACTCCTTATTATTCCTGTGAATATATATATTTTTCTCTTGCTCGAAAGCTGGCAATGATTGATATTTTCTTATGTTACACATGTAATGTCTTATGTTTGATATATATGTTCTATTTTGTGCAATAAATTCTTTTCTTTTCTTTATATGATTTCTTGAAAAAAAAAAAACTATGAATAGAATTGACTTAGAATTATGATGAACATTTAAATAGCAAAGAGGGAAAATTTTTTTTAGATACGAAATGAAATTATTTGTCTAGGAAATATAATTAATGACAGACTTAATTGGTGAAAACCATACAGTGTAAGATATGTTCAATTGTCTTATTCTTTTATTAAATATTTCTTATTCGTCTTTCAGTTCATCTCCTTCCAAAGATGGTGATTCACTATTAGATGAATTTGATTTAACATCATCACCTATTGATGATCAGTTATTTGATATTCCAGCATTAACGTCACTTCCTAGTCTTGAAAGTATACTTTATGAACAAGATCCAACATTTGATAGTATATCTGTATCATCATCAATACAAAATCAAAATCTTCAACAAGATAATGATAATTCTATTAATAATTTAAATAATCTTCATTCATCTCAACCATCATCAGCATCATTTGATTCTTTACTTGATATTCAGACTAAACCACTTGATAATTATATACTTAAAATTCATCATCAACTACAAGATGCTATAAGTACAGATGAATCATTTGTTGAAATACCTAAACATAAACAAATAAATCATGGTTCATTATTAAAAATTCATGAATTACAAACAATATCAAATCAATTATCACTTTGTATTGAACGTACAAATTATGGTCATCCAACAACAATTGATATACTTTTAAATCGTTTAGTTGCTATTGGTACAACAAAAAGTGTTGTACTTTTATTTGAACATCAAACACAATCATTAAAACATTGTTTAAATAGTGATTTATCAAATGGTGCTGTATCAGCATTAAATTTTAATAATGATGCAACACGTTTATTAGTTGGTTATGCACGTGGACGTATACAAATGTATGATTGCTCAAATGGAAAACTTCTACGTAATATAAGTAATGATATTCATGGACCTGATACAGCTATATTAAATATTAAATTTACACATGATCCAACAATTGCTTTATTTAGTGATAGTGGTGGTAGTGTATATGTATTACAATTTACACGTCATTTAAAACGTGGTTATCAATCGAAATGTCTTTTTTCTGGTAGTCGTGGTGAAGTATGTACAATCGAACCACTTTTATTTTATCATCAACAAGATTTATTAACAACAGATACAAATGAAAAATTAGAACAACATGCATTAAAACCAATGTATATAGTTGCATTAGCTACATTTACAAAAGTTTTTTTATTAGCATTAAAATCACAAAATAATGTTAAAATTTTACGTGTACAACATTTAGCTGGAAGTAATACAACATTACCAATACTTAAATGGCAATTTATTATTGTTAAAGTTAGTGAGAAAATTAATTGTATTAATCCAATTCTTGCTGCTGTCAGAGATAGACACTGCACATTCATTCAGGTATGAAGGCTTTTTGTTTTATAAATATAAAAGAAAATTGTTTTTTTTTTTTGAATATATTTATTATTAGATTCAACATGTACGTGATGATGAAGTGCATATAACACAATTGAAACAGATTACAGTTGATTATCATATTAAATCATTTTGTTGGTTAAATGCAAGAACATTTGTATTATTTGATATGTCTGAACGTGCACATGTTATGTAAGAAATTTAGCGAAGATTTTAAAATTTGTTCTTTTATCTATTTACGAAAGAATTATTTTGAGTTTTTTTTTCATGAGATACGATTCTGTATTACAATTTGACCTATCTAATTAAGAGACTTTTCGTTCTGTAACTACGAGAATTATACGAAGAGTTTCTTCGAAAAAAATTGAATAATGAAGAAAATAGTCATTTGATGATCTTAGTTTTTAATGAAGTAACATCATTGCTTGAACTTTTTCTATATTTCGAGAAATCAATTTCTCTAATAGCAATTCTTAGATTAGTGGGACGTAGTTTTAAGTAATTTAATTTTTTTCTTACATGTTACTACATAATAAAATCATTACAATCTCAGAAACAAAATATAAGATCATGGGGAAAAATATAACAACAACTTACTTTTAATTGTTGTCTATTGTATTAAGTCGTTACCTCAACACTAGATAGTGAGTTTAAGAGTTAATGAGAATTTCTTTTACTAAGATCTCATAGATGAACTATGATAAGTTTTCTAAAAAAATAAACACAGTCGTTTTCAAGTCTCAGAATGCTATTTTTGAACAGTACCATTGTCAAGACCACAAAATTAGAAGTCGTCGAGTTTTCACCCCTTTTCTTTGAAAAGTAAAATCTGTAACAAAAGGTGTTTTTTAGCAATTTTTTAATAGATTTCGTTTTTCTCATGGTTTTTGTGATGCTTTTAACCTTTTCATGGAGGATCATAAAAAATGCGGCGATCCCTCACTTTGTTCTTTGAAAAATAGCTTTGACAAAGTTGTCTCGAACCTAAAATCTATCGTGTACGGTTTTTTAGAGATCTCGCTGTCATTTTACATCTCAGAGCTGAATTAGTACAGACTTTCTCGAATAAGATTACTTCGAAACATGGGTTCAAAACCATTACAGCATAATTGTCGAAGATAGATGAGTGCAGTTTTTGTATACGACCGACGGCGGCAGAAATTTGCTATTTGCTGCATTTTCGAAGAGGAGAAATATGTACTTGTTATCACTTTAATACAGCACATTTTATCCAAACTGACGAAAGCGGATAAGATTGTTTTTCTATGTTGAAATCAATTCAGTGGCGACATCCAATAACGTTGTAAAGATTCATTTCATCACGCCTCTGAATCAATTTTTCGAGTCACCCTCCGCTTCTCTACGAGTTCAACAACAACAACATGATCATCTGTCTAGGAATACGGATGTGACTTGAAAACTGAATAAAGAGACATTTCAAAATAAATCTTTACAATGATATTAGAAGTAGTTACTGAACTGATTTCAAAGCTGAAATATATCTAGAGTGGACAAACGATTTTATCCACTCTTGTCTGTTAGAATGCTCAATACTCGAGCATTTTGCCCAGCCCTAACTCATGTACGAAATTTTGATAAACGAAAGCTCCATTAGCTATTAAAACGACTATCTAAGTTTGAGCTAATTGTTTAACATTATAGAAAAAATAAATCAACAATAGTTTGTTATTAAACATTTCCTACCATACCATATACTTGCATCTTTTCATAGATTACCAAATTCTATTTCAAATGAAAATAAAAATTCATAAAAGGCTAGAAATTTATCATATTTTTTTTATATTTTTCTTTTTAAATAGTGATCAACGTTCAGAAGAACAATTAGAATGTGTATCTTTATCATATTGTGAACTTATTTATAATACAATCTTTTTTAAATCATTAGCTACTGGTGGTAATGTTTCATCTGCATTAGCATTAGCGGGACAAAATGCTTGTTATCAAACATTAATATCAAATCAAGGTTATATTTTTTTACTTGGTACTCATACACTTTATGAAATACATCTACGTGATTGGTCTGAACGTATTGATTTTTATATTGAAAACGGTAAAAATCAATATGATCAAGCATTAGAACTTGCTTATTCAATGTTAGTTGGAAAAGCTAAAGGCTTAACTGGTAAGTAAATGATTAATAAAATTCAAATAAATGAAAACCTTTCTTTTTTTTTTTTATATATATAAAAGGTTTACCAATTGACTCAACAAAACGTCGTCAATGTATATCCGATCGAATGGTTTCATTACTTCAGGCTTATTTAAAATTTTCACTTCATCATGAATGTCCACAGTCAGGTAATATTGATTTACTTAAACAACATTATAGAAATGTTTTACCACGTTCAATTGATTATTGTTTATTAATTGATCGTTTGGATTTATTATTTGGTCTTATATATGATATTTTTTCAAAAGATTCTATAGCACATGGAATTTATTTACAATGTTTAGAACCTTATATATTAAAAAATCGTTTTGATACAATATCACCAATGGTTTTAAAAGATTTTATTAATTATTATATTAATAATAATTATTTTAATCAATTAGAACAATGTTTAAATCGTCTTGATGTATCATCTGTTGATATTGATCAAATTATACAAGTAACAAGAAAATATGAACTTTATATGACATTATTACATATGTATAGTGAAGCTTTTAAAGATTTTACAACAATTTTAAAAGAAATTATTGAAAAACTTGAAAATGATTTTGCACAAAATAATGGTAAATTTAAGATATTTCATTAATATACAATGGAGCAAAAGTCTTCGTACAAAACATTCTTTCATTTTTCAGTCACTTAAAAAACAACTGATTATAGTCCGTTAGGTTAATCTCAGGTTCGGAAATTTTGAACCCGACAGATTCTAGAGTCAGAAGCAGTTAATTAGGATCAGACATTTTTGTGCTTTCCGAATATATGTTCATAATTTCCTTCTGAGCTAAGATTGTATAACTATTATCAAATTCTTTCGAAAATTAATGTTTGTACAGAATACTATTTCGGTCCATTTTGTATTCCGATTGAAACCTATCAAATTTAAAATACGAAACAGTTTATAATGGCTTAGTTTGCTCTAGAAAACGTGTTATTTATTTTTGCTATGACAGATTTAAAAACTTTTGTATTATGAAACAGCGATTTTTGTTGTCAATATTGATTTTTATAGAAACTAGTTCTTTAGTGGAAATGCATAGATAAGATTTCGCTCGTTGCAATATCTCATTTTTCACAGAATATTTCACGACACAATTTTGAACTTCTTTTTACAAAATTTATTGACAGTTGTACAATTTTACTCCAGAAGGAAAATCTTAGCGTATATTGAGAAATAATAAAGAACTCTGATTTTATTTCTAATCAGTTGTCTTTCTGTGGTCGAATGCCAAAGAAATATTTTGTGCTAAGATTTTCGTGATATAAGTTAGAAAACAAAGTTGTGACTTCAATTATTTTCTCTTGTTCTCAAAATTCGTTAATATTAAACTTCTCTAATTTAATTTTATACTTTCCTATGATTTATAGAAATGATTCATCATTATATGCATCAGTAGATTTTCTAATTGCAGTGAATATCTACCATAGGACAGATATTTAATATTCTTTCTATCAAGTACTTTATATTGATAATAGTTACTAAAATACAAATTCATTTTATTTTCTTTGCATATTCAATAAGAAAACTCTATCTTAATTTATGGAAAAGAAAACGGAAGTCAAATCTTAAATATTGAATATTTAGGTACTTGTTATAGTACAAAAATGATTTTAATCGGTAATCAAGCTCTTGTTTTTATTCAAACAACATTAGTTGGTGAAATTTATCCATTTGGTGGTCGTCTCTCAGCTGAAATGGCACATTTTGGACGTAATGAAATAGTTGATTTTCTTTCTTATTTACATCCACGTCGTACTGGTGGTTTACTTTATAATAATTTACGTACATTACTTCATTTTAATACTCGAGATTTTTTCAATTTATTAACAATGGCATTTGATAATAATGAATTTTTAAATGATATTGATACAATAAAACGACGAGCATTTTGTGACATATTATTACGTGTTATGGTTGATGATGTACAATTTTCATCTCATCAAATAAGTATTTTATTTAATTTTCTATCAAGACAATTAGCTAAAGCTGGACAACAACATATATTTGTTCAAGGAATGTTATTTGAACAGGTAAGCATAAATTACAGGATTGACTATAAAAAGTGCTACATTAAAATATCTTCGCCTTTTTTTGCTTCAATGGACTAATTTGTTTTCTTTTTTGGTTAGTCATAGAAACAACTTTACTTTTTTAATCACGTAAGAAAAAACACATGTGTAGAATTTCATAGTTAATTTTCAATTGTCATGAATTATATTATATTTGAGTAAACTTTCAACACTAGTCAGACAAAATGCTGAAATTTGTGCTTCATAAAGTAAAACAAACAATTGCAGTCTTCAGGGTACGGAAACATCAACCTTTTTGCGAATTTAGGTCAAGTAGTATGGATCGATTCCGATAGGAAAACACCGGAAATCGTTGGAACTCGGAAACAATATTCTGAATACAATGATTTTTTTTTTGCATCTTTCCGGCCGCTGTCATTGATATCCGATTGTTTCCGGAGTCCGGAAGCATCAACCGGAGAAAAATAGTCTATTCCATGTTTCAAAGTTTGCTGTATGTGCATCAGTGTAATACAAGGGTCGTTCAAAAAGTTTCGAAACTGATTTTGTTTAAAAATAGCAAGAAGCACTGCTGCATTTGTATTGTTGTCTGTGTATTGTTCATACAGCTCTTAATCTATAGACGTCATGAACTCTGATCGATTAAGCATTTATGCCAAGTTTTACTCTAATAGAAAAATTAAAAATTTGAGTAAAATTTTGTGTAATTGGATGGTGAATTCACATCCAATATTTTATGAATGTATACTGTTCTATGACCAACTATAGTTTTTGAATGAACTCATCGTTTTAAAGATAGATACGTATTGATATAAGAACGAAGTATAGTTTTTGAAGTGCTATCAATCGTGACATTTATCTGGAATAGATTGTACTCATATGTTATTTATGATGTGCCATATATTTGAAATTGTAAATATATCCGTCATTTTCTAAATTGCAATTTGAAACTCTTCAATAACTAAGCTTCTAACTCTTTTAATGTTTGTCAATATTTAATTGTCAATCTTTAAAACTCAAATTTCATTAAGAAACTATTGTAAGTGATGGAATATTAGTCACCATAAAACTGCCATCATACATTCATGAATATTGAATGCAGATTGATTTCCCATTACTACAAATCTTATCGTTGAAGGATGCTCAAATTTTTTATTCTCTTAGATGATAATTGAAAATTATCTCTAAAACACTATATATATATATGGATTTTTCTTATTTGATAACAGGTAAAATTACTTTTACTACTAACCAAATAATCAGCTGATGTGAAGATCTTTCATGTATTTTTTTTTTGGTATCGTAGTATTATTTATAGCTCATTCGAAATATCTTATTCCACTAATGAATGTGATTTAAGAGTTAAAAGTGATAATTTTGAAGAATTAGTTTCATTATATAAATTATCTTCAAAACCTCGACATCGATTTGGACCTAAATATAAAACACATATTTCTTCTTGTTGATTGTTTAAAAAATAATTTGTATCTTTAACATGTTGATAAGTTAATGTACTAAATCGATCAAATGATGATGAATAATTAAAATCATTTATATTATCATATTGTTTTTCATAAAAAATTTCATTAGAATTTGGTAAATGAATATGTTGGTGATATTCATCTGATGTTAATTGATTTATTTTTATATTATCATTAATAGATTCATTACACATTTCATTTTCTAATTTAAATTAGAAATATTGAGAAAAATGTTTTTTTTTGTTTTTGAAGAGAAATTTACTTTTTGATTGATCATTAACAAAAGCTGTATTTATTGAAGATTTTGATATTATTCTTCCATTATATTCATTTATTTCTTCAGTTGTTAATTGTTTTGATGATTGTTGACTATCATTTTCTATAGTTTGAATTGATCTATTCCAAATATAAGGACTTTGTGCAGATGATGTTATTGATTTTGATTTTGAATTATGATCAGAATTAGCTAATAAATTAGAAGAAAATAAGTTTTGTTTTTTGAAATAGAGAACAAAAGACAACCAACCTTGATCAATAGCTTTCAAGAATTTAGTTTGATCTTTTTCATCTAAAAGTTTTATTTAAAACGAAGAAAATTAAATCATAACGAGTGGTCCATAAAGAATGGACCTTTCAGTATTTTGCATATGGACTTATCAGTCTTTCAATATAACGGAACAATTTTTTTGACATAATTCCTCTCGATTTTCTACAAATGTGCATCTTTCACTTAAATAGAACAACATGTATTATTTTTTTTCTATCAAGCTGTTTCCATTGTGTATTGTGAATGGTTTTGTCAATCTTCGTTCTTAATTAAGCAACACTTCAAGCAATTATCAGCTCAAAACTAGTTCTAATGAAGTCTTCAGAAGAATCGAAAACTTACTTTATGCTTTCGATTCCATAGAAGCGAACGTTACTCTGTTTTTTTATTAACAAACAATACGAGTATTTATTCTGGACTTATGCACGAAATTATAAAGAATTTGTGGCAAGTTCTATATTATTAATTAAGAATAATAATTAGGTGTTCGCTTCTTCTAAAGACTTCATTATAGCTAGATTCGGACTGATAATTGATTAAGATTTTGTTTGATTATGAGTGAGGACTGACAAAATCATTCACAAAGGTCAATCGAAAGAGCTTTCTGAAAACAAAAGGAATTTTGAAAGTGATGTATTATGAAATCTATTCCTTCTATTGGATCTAAAAAAATAAGATATACTGTTCTGTTTAGATGAAAGATGCAAATCTTTAGAGAATTGAACGTGGAACCTATCAAAAAACAAACTTTTAGCGCAATTCCTGTGAGATTGAGATGTGAAACACGATTGATGTATCTGCTGTTGCTAGTTACAATGAGGTTGATTTACTCTATGAATTTTGAAACACATTTCTTCACCCTCCTTTTACTTGATCTTCTAGAAGTGCAATCAAGAAACACTTCATGTATTAGAGTCGAACATTATAAATCTATAATCTATGATCGTATGTTAATAACGTCTGTTACAGTCTTCGGCTAGCGTCGATTACAATCTGCGATGAATCACAAGGTATTCGTTATAGTTTGTGATGGATTGTCAGGGCGTCTATCACGACTTTCTAAAGGTAGAGGAAGTACATCCAAAGTCCTGATTCTATACTTTAACATTCCTTTGAGATCGTGCTCCATAGAAATTGTTCCGTTATATTGAAAGACTGCTGAAAAATATGTAAAATACTGATAAATCAATTCTGTATAGGACATCCTTTAATTATGTCTATTTGTTTGTTTTACTTGTTATTGCTAATATTAATTTTGATTTATTTTCCATGGATTGTTTATTATCAAGAATAATTAAATATTGTTCTTGTTTATTTTCATTTAATGTTTCAAATATTTTAAACATACAATTTGATTCTTTAAGTGATGGATCAAAAATAAAAAAAACATTATTTAAATTATCTAATTTTTCTCGAAAGATTTCTTTAAATTGATTATTATCATTTGAAAGATTTTCATTATTATCAATTGATTGAAATTGATTTATTGGTAATTGTAAATCAGTTGATAAAACATTTGTTGCTGTTCGTTGCCAAATTGGAACTAAAAGATTATTTTCATTAAATGCTAGAACAGTTGGTATTGTACGAATATGATAATATTCAGCTAGTTTTAATGCTTGTTCAACATCAGCTTCATATAAAACAATACGATCTTTATTTGTTTGTGCCCATTGACGAAGACCAGATATTGTTCGTTTTGAATACGGACAATAACGAGCATAGAAAAAAACCATTGATATAGGTTTTTTATTTTGTTCAACAAATGTTTGTAAATCATTTAATGTTTTTATTGAATAAATATTATCTGTAGAAGAAATATTATTTATAAAATCATCATCAATATCATTATTTGAAGATGAAATCGATGGTAATTTTAACTGATGTTTTAAATTAGATATATCTTGTTTTATATTTTTATCGATAGAACTTTTAATTGATTGTTGTTGAAGATTATTTTCATCGATTGATTTAATTGTTACTTTTTTCTTTTCTTTCTATTAGATTAAAATAAATAAATAGAAGATTTTTGTTAAAGATTCTTTTTTTTTTTTAAACTTACATCATTTATTAAATTTTTCTTTTCTTTTACTTTATTTGTCTTGGTTTTTTTCGTAAGATTATCTTTATTTGTTGATTTTTTCTTTTCTTTTCGACAACAACCCATAGAATACTTTTCGAAAGTTTATAATTTAACCTTCAAATAATAACAAACAGAATCGCATTCCTACTAAGCACAAAGAATAAACACAAACAAACAAGAAAAAATAATAATAATTTAAATTATTTTAAAGCGCGCATTAATTTTTTTTTTCTTTTTCTTTAGGTTCTTGAATATCTTTGTAAATCAGTTGTAACATCTCTAAATGATAATGATGATAGTAAAGATGAACGTGAACAAGCATTACTTGATGTTATTCAAGCAGCTGGTTTACAAGCATTTGATCTTAAACGTTTACTTAAACTTGCAAGACAAGCACAATTTTGGCGTGTTTGTGAAATAATTTATGCTGAAACAAATGAATATGATCTTATCCTTGAATGTTATTTAAATGATCGACGTCGACGATTAGATTTATTTCATTATATAAGAACATTATGGCCAGCACTTGATGAACGTGAACGTAATAAATTTCATATGAAAATAATGGAGAATTTTATTCAAATAATTGAAACAGATTCATTTAAAGCATTTAAATTATTTTGTATTTTTTTTCAAATGGATTTAGGAAAAGTATTAAAATTAATTGGAAAAAATGAAACAGCACAATATGGAATTTTAAAAGTAAGAATACTAAAACAAAAAAAGAATTTAATCTTGCTATGCAAAATTTTTCATTAAAGGTCACCTCTTTCCAGGGTTTCTCAAGAATAGTTCATCAGAAAAATTTGAAATTTTCAGGATAGATAGATCTTAAAAAGTAGAATACAAGTTATCATAGACTCAAAGTTCTCGAATGCTGTCTTCTATGAGATATTGGAACACAATAGCTTCTCCGTGTCTCCAAGATGCTGTATTTAATCAAACTGAACATGTTTTTTACAATTACTAGACACTGCTTGGAATGAGTATCTTTGTTTCCGTTGAATAAAAAATCTATTAGCGCAATCTTTGAGAGATTAAAATGTGAAACATAATGTAGCTGTTGTTGCTAATCACAGGAACATTGTTTTATTCTATCTATTCTTGAGCATAGTGCTTCACCAATCTTTTACTTAATTCTTCAGAAATGCAATAAAGAACTAGTTCATATATATTATAAAGAGACGTTATTGTTATACAATCTTTGATCGTATGTTAACAGCGTCTATCATAGTCCATGATGCGAAGGAAAAGAGTGCTGCTAAGACATTCGTCACGGTCTGTCGATCACGTGTGTCATTGTTTGTAGAGTAGGGTGAGTGCATGTTTTCACTCTTTATACTTCAACACACCTTTTAAGTTGTATTTCACAAACCTTAAATCTATTTTCTGCCTTCATCATTATAATAAACTATCGAAAAAATCTCATACTCGTATTTGATAAAACGAATAATATTTAATATTTCAACAATAAAAAGATTGTCGATATATTATTATTTTTTTTTTCTAGAGTTGTTTTGCATATTCAGATGATACAAAATCTTCGTCTTCATCTTCTTCTACTTCATCATCAGCAATAATTCATATTGATCCATCACATTATTTACATTACATTGATTTACTTGCACGATATGAACCATCTCAATTATTATCATTTCTTAAAAATAAATCTGAATATTATCGTGAACAAGATGTTCTTGATATAATACGAAAATATCAATCACCATTATTAATACCATCAATTGCATATTTACTTGAACGTCTTGGTCAATATACTGAAACATTTGATCTTTTATTAGAATCAATGCATGAATGGAAAACAATTGAACAATTATATCAAATGGCATTAGATTGTGTTCATTTTTGTCAACGTACAACAATTAAATTAAAAGATAAAAAAGAACGTGAAGATTTATGGTTAAAATTTCTTCAAAAAATTTTAGAAATATCATCAAAATCATTTGATTGTGAACAATCCGGTGCATTTCGTCGTATATATGGTGAAGTACTAAATAGTATGATTGGTTATGTTACATTGCCATCTATACTTGAACTTATTATGGGTACAGATGCTGCTGATATAACAAAAGGTATACGAAAAAGATCTGATACAAATACTCGAAGTACATTTGAAATACGTCAGTTAATACAATCAATGTTAGAAAATTGTTCATTTGAATTACGTTTACTTGAAACAACACGACGTTTATTACAGCGTGATTTAAATGATGATATACAACAAATGTGTTCAATTATGAATCATAGTGTACCAATACGTTTAAATCAATGTACATATTGTCAAAAATTACTTCATCAACAACAAGATATTGATAAAAAATACGAACAAAAAAATAAATTTATTATATTTGCATGTCGACATGTTTTTCATTTACATTGTTTAATGGAAATTCAAACAGAACAATCAAATAATAATTTTTGTCCACAATGTACAACAAGACAATCGTCAGCAGCAGCAGCAGCAACAACAACAACAACAACAACAACAACATCAATTGTACGACCAGAAATGAGACGATTAACCACAATACATTCGGATCAAAATGAAAAACAAATTGCTTTAAGTAATATTCAACAACAAGTTGTTACAGCAATGTTGGAAAGAAAACGTTTAAATGCTCATCATTTAAATATAGATGATAATGACGAAAGAATTCAAACATCTATTAATGAACCATATTCATCATCAACACCATTACAATTACCAGACAAATGGAGAGAATATCTTTCGTCATCAGAATAAATCAGGAGACATATGCACTAGTCAACGTGTTTTTTCATCGGCCAATGATTTTCTTTTTTGTTTTTTTTTGAAATGAGAAAAATAATGTTCTTTTCCAATTCCTTTTTTTTCCAACAAAATCCTATATCCTGCATTTAATTACGTCCTGCTCTTTTTTTTTGTTTGGATGATTAGTCTTTCACTTAAAATTCTTGCGACTATTAAGTGTGTTTATTTGATTTGTATATTTCTTTGATTTTATATTAATAATTTATTCAAATAAATTCTTTATTCTGTTGTAATTTGGTTTTTCTTTTATTAATTTATTCTTTTTGGCTTTAAATATACATACAGAAGACAAAGAAACAAAAGCACAATATACAAAACGCAATAAACAAACAAAATGCTGGAAGACACAAAAAAAAAAATTTTCTTCTCTACTGATCAACCAAACAAAAGAAAAAAAAAACGTGATCGTTTTGTGAAAAAATAGACTGTAACGTAAATGGAATGCATACGAGATAATACCCTTCAAAAAAAAACTGAATAAATGCACAAGGTCAACCTTTGGCGAAGAAAAATCAAAAAATGTGAATTGTTATATTCATAAACCAAGACGTCCAAAAGCCATTTGTTTTCGAAGTTCAATTATTTTATTATAACGATTTCGTGCTAGAAAATAATTAATAACAAATAAAAGGGTTCAATTTATTTTTTTTTCTCTCTTACTATCACTTTTCACAAGGCCCGATTGAACATGACGAATAAAAGTAAAAAAATCACAAACAGCTGCAATCTATTGTAATAAAATAATGATTAGAAAGAATCAAATGAAACAAATATGATTTACTCGATTTCGAGATAAGCGTGATATTGGATACCATTCACCATTTTCACATAATCGAACACGATAATTACATTGACAAAGATCACCCGTTAATGAACAAACTCTAAAAAAATGTCAATAATAAAATTCTGAAGGATTTCTCTTCCGAGATTTATAGAGAGCAGCTCATCAGAAAAATTTCAAATTTTCAGGACAAGCCGATCGTGACAAATAGAACAAGAGTTGTCATATGCTCTAAGCTCTATGATGCTATCTTCTATGAGATACTGGAATCACAATGGTAAAAAGTGCCCTTCGCTCCGTTTCTCCAAAATACTTTGTTCAATTGAGTTGAATTTTTTTTTGCAGAAATAGACATCGCCTCATTTAAACAAACAAAAATACCCATCCTAAACAGCGTATAACATACATTAGAAAAGTTTCAGCTCGATTGGACGTACTTGACTGAAAAAACCCGAAACAAAGTACAGTAAAGTCCATCAAATCTGTGCCCAACTGGAGAGGTCTCATGTTCAGTTTTCATTTATTTGATTTTTCGAATTTATTAAATTGGGAAGACAATCTTTGGATCCCAACATGATACTACTTCAGATAATGCAATAGTAAAAAAAACGCCAGAAACTTTGAGCCATGAAATGAAAATGTAGAGATGCATCAGTTCCTTCAACATGATATCAAAAATGGTAGTTTTTTCCTTATTAAGAATGTAGTTTCTGTGGATTCGTCTATATCAACCATACTTACTCTATCCGAAGTTGTAGTCACAAATTCGCATGTTTTAGTTTTCTTTTGAGTAATTTCAACTGATTTTAAGACTCCTGTTTTTTTTTAATTAGATAAAATCTAAGAATAGGTTCGGAAAGTGCATTCAAAACTGACTACAACTGGACTGCACAACCTCCACAACTTTGATAATTGTCACTACTGAACATGTGTCGTTGTAAACAGCATTAAACCAATTTCTTGAATTTCTAATCAAAGTTTAGACTATCTTCAGTATTGAGAATTACCACACTCGGAACGATTTTTTATGTTAGCTGCAATTAATTTCGAACGCTCTTTCAAG